AAGCACAAAAAAATATACCCAGATAAGCAGTAAAAAGACTTCATTGAATGAATGTTTTCTAAGTTACGGTTAACTTATCAAAGTCTTAATTGTTTACCAAGTGGTCGGAGCACAAAAAAAAACGAAAAGTGGCCGAAAATAGCACACAATGAGCACGATAATACGAAAATATTTTCTCTTAATTTTTGCATTTCAGCCCCACTAGCTTGATTGGGCTGCTCGCTATCTCTATTAGCGATTGTTCATTTACTGCGATAGATCTCCGGCGATGAATCGCTTGCGTGGACCGCTCATCTCAAGCATGAACTGTTAAGTAGTTAGTTTCGCAGCTTGTTTTAACTTTACATTTTGATGAAGTTCTGTTTTTCTATAATATATATGCGCAAAACAACGCGCAGTACGCCATTTTTGCGAATACAGTAATGTTTGTTATGTGTCGTATGCACTTTTGAAATGAAATCTTCTGCGATGACATGCCCAAGTACCAAAATTTCTCTGCGATGAGCATTTTGCTTGCGATGAAACTGACAGATAGCTGTACGCTAATCGAGACAGCAGGTAAGTAAGTACGTTATTGACAACATATGTAGCTGTTCCAAATTTCAGGACAATAGCATATGATATGAAAACTTCAGTTTGTATGAGGGTGCCACGCCCTTTTTACAATACCTGCCACTTTCCGTCGGAAGTACGTTAGCTTAAGCATTATGAAAAGTTCAGTTTGTATGGGAGGTGCCACGCCCCCTTTCCAATACCAGCCACTTTTCGCTGAAAGTAAGGTATTGATAACATATATAGATGTGTAAAATTTCAGGACGTTGGCGTAAGGGATTACAGAGATAAGCGATATGATAAATTCAGTTTGTATGGGAGGTGCCACGCCCCTTCTTCCATTACCTACCACTTTTCGACATAAGTACGTTATTGATAACATAAGTAGCTGTGTCAAATTTCAGGACGTTAGTATAAGTGGTTCTAGAGATAAACGATATGATAAATTCAGTTTGTATGGGAGGTGCCACGCCCCCTCTTCCATTACCTACCACTTTTCGACATAAGTGTCAAATTTCAGGACGTTAGCATAGGCTGACTTCCAAAACGTCAATTGCTTTGCATACGTACAAAGTATAATGTTCCATAACGCCGAACTACAAAATATTGACAATGTATACTTTTCCAAATCGCATCCGAAAAGTTATCGAAATGCATCGCTAGAGCAATCAGCGCATCAGAAATAAAGTTGATGCTTCGTTTGTTATTGGTTAACATTGGTGTTTCAAAAATGGAAAATTCAGAAAAATCTTTCATTGCTAAATTGAATATTTAAAATATCGAGCCCTAACCGCCAAAATAACGTAAGCGACAATTATTCAAAATTTTATTTTTGATGCAGAAATATTCCTCGGGCATCCAGATGTATTTCTGCATCGAAAAGAAAATTTTGAAAAAAATGGCGCTTACGTTATTTTGGCGGTTAGGGCTCGATATGCAATGTATATGGTTGCAATGTGTCGCAACTCTGCATGTGCATATAAACAGTTTGAATACCGCAGTATAACAGTTTCCAAACATTGTATTGATACGTTTTGGAAGTCAGCCATAAGTGGTTCCAGAGATAAACGATAGGAGATGTTCAATTTGTATGGGAGGTGCCACGCCCCCTTTTCCAATAGCTGCCAGTTTTCGCCATAAATTGGCTATTTGCAAGTTATGCATCAGTGCCAAGTTTCAGTCCCCCAGCGTAGTTGGTTTAAGAGATATGTTGGTGCCCTCAAAGAAGGGGTTTCAACATTTTATTATGAAGTATGTCTATGTGAAGATATCCATTATTCTCCCACTGAATAAGAACGTTAGGAATATCCCGACCCTAGCGCATCCTGTCGTGTAAGTTTTTAGTCCAAATGCATTTTTTAGGAATATCCCGAACCCAGCGCCATCTACCGATTAAATTTTTTGTCGCAATATTTCCCTCCAAGGTTCTGACAAATGTTCCAGATATGAACGAAATCGGTCCAGCCGTGTGGTAGTTTCGTGATATACGATATACAGAAAACTCTATGAAATTGTTAAATCGTGACCAGGGCTGCCAACTTGGCGCAAACTGTGCAATTTTTGGCCCTATTTTACTTCTAACGGCACTTAGTTTTTCAATTTGGCACAAAGTGCCAAAATGGCACTTTCGAAAAATAGTAATATTTCAATATATATTTGTGAAATCCTTTGCTTGTACTTCTTTTTGTCAACTAAAATTTTCTAGTTTCAATAGTGTTTAAAACGGTTTTATCTTATTTTGGCATTTGGCTTTTGTTTTAGGATTGTGTTTCTAATTTTAATGCTAAATAGAAAGAATTAGAAAAAATGGCACTTTTTGGCAGTTTTATTTTTCTGTTTGGCACATATTGGCACTATTTTATCCTCAATATGGCACTTCACAGCTAAGGATAGTTGGCAGCCCTGATAGTCTCATCTTTCTTAATTTTTTGGCAACAATAACAAAAATTGTAAATTTTTTTAATCGAAAATCCTTCCACACAGAAGACTCAAAAAAGTGCTTTTTAAAGAATTGAAATCGGTTCAGGCGTTTGGTCAGGTATCGCGGTCATACGAAAGACATTCAATTTTTATATATTTCGATAGATAATAATGATATTGGTTAATCAGGACGATAGCAAGTCGTGGAATCGCTATATCTCAGAAATAGTAATCGTTAAAAATAAAAAGATTATAGCAATTCTTGTATGATCTACACTTTCGTCTTACTAGTGATGGAGAACTATCGATGGAGCTATCGATAGGATCGATGGTTTTATTTTCCCGCCACTATCGAATTTTTCGAAACACTCGATAGTTATATTTTGTTCACATCATTGTTAACTAGGCGTCGAGCACGTTCATGGTAAAACGCAAGTAATTAGTTTTTAATAACTGACTTAAGGTCTGACTTTATATAATTTCTTAAAAAATAACTTCTTTTGGTTTTAAAATAATTTTTACAGTTTTTATGTAAAAAAGTGGTTAAATTAAAATGAAATGAACTGTATACTTACTCGTTTTTTTACACAAGTTATATGTTGTTAACTTTTTGTTTATACAAATAATCTCTATGGTTTTTCTAGTTGCGAAATGGTTTATCTGAGAACAGGATCTCTTCTTGGCTGTTGTTGTCCGACAAGAAGACGAAACGACCTAATTTACAAGCGATGGGATCTATTATATCACTTGCGAATTCTTTTTGACTCTATTAGCCATAAAAAGTGCAATCCAATTTGCCCATTTACAATTTTAAATTTATCAGATTGTTATAATTTGAAATAACACATTTTTTTTAGGAAATTTCACTATTTTAAATACTAAGTTTGATGAATCTTAAAAAAGATTGGTGAAACCAGGTATTAGTATTATAAGTCAATTATACATATGTTAGAAAATTTTCGATAGTATCGATAGTATCGAATATTTTGTACTATCACTATCGAAACTATCGAATGTATACACTATCGATAGTTTTCCAACATTACGTCTCATCTATTTTTATGATAAATCGTACAGTTTTGCTGAAAATGCAAAAAATCAATTTATGTGACCTTTGACCTTAAATAAATTTGTTTGCAGACGTGGGATCGATGGGGACTTGTGACATTTCATTCATAATGCTGTTCGCAACAGGGGTTTAACTTTTTTTTGTCCGAACACTTTTTCGGAGTTTAAGGTGGTTGAATCAGAAACTTTATAAAAAATAACGATTTTTTAGCTTTCTGCATATTTTTTTCTTTAGTGACCAAACCACTTATGTTAATCGATTGAATGACAAATACCACTTTTCTATGCCATTCCATATTTTTATCGTTATCTCAGAAACTAGGTCTGACCTAGAGAAACCATTATGATTAGACTGCGGATTTTACGCAAAATACGGAGCCTAGAAATATGTACCTCGTAACTTAGCAAAGTGTATAAATTTGTATAAACAAAATATATTCAAATTTATACACTTTGCTTATAGTTATGTAGTACACATTTCTAGGCTCCGTATTTTGCATAAAAGTCCGCAGTCTAATTATGATATTCGGAATCAAGATAAAACTGTACGTTAGAAAAGTTTTATTTCATTATTAGAGGTTAAATGTTATCAAAAATTAATGAGAATCTAGTATTTTTTTATAAAACCTAGGGATTTTTTCGTGCAAACCTGCAAACCATATTTTCAGAGTATTCTGAATTTTAGAGGAACTTTAAGGAATTCGTAAAGATCTCATTCGATTTTTTGCCGAATTTTCTAAAATGAAACAAACTGTGCACAATTCGATTCTTTTACGAAATTTCGGAAGAAAATCGATAAAGCAATGAAAATAATGCTGCTATGTGAAGAATTTCTTGCAGAATTTTTTCAGAATTTTCTTTATTTTTCGTACAGAAATTTCTTTACGAGTTCGTGTCAACCACTTCATATAATTTTCTTTGAAGATTCGTAAAAAAATCGGTACAGAAATGAGATACTCCTAAAGATATCGTTAAGATTACGGGAAATTTGGTTTGCAGGGTAAATAGATAAAAAATAACTTCTTACTTTACCTATATTCCTTTAAACTTTACTTCAATGAAAAATGCCTTAATTTGGTGCAATAAAGCATTTTCAAATGTGTGAAACAGTGGTATTTGTAATGTCTTTCACTCAAATAGTGAACGGTCATAACTTAAATTTGATATTGACTACACAATTGAAATGTAATAAGATGATATGTAAATTATGTAAGCCTTCTTCAGAGCGAAATATTAATTATGTAAAATGCAATGTTATAATCATTTCTACACTTTTTAGATGTCATGAAATGATGTTATTTTTGAGTTGTGACCCTTATCTGCTTCGTGTGTAACATGTACGTATGTATGTATGGAAATGTGTTCAAAAATTTACCTCCACCATCAACTAACACCCATAAGTATGTATCCACGCATGTATGACGTATTAAATCCATATGTATATTTAAAGAGGACAGTACCTTTTTCACAAGTTTGTGGTGATTTATCATCTGCGAAACGTAAGTAGAAGGTAGTTGTTAACATAAGTTTCGAAAATTTTCAAACAAAGAACACAGTTTCAGGAAAATTTTAAAATCGATGTAAGGAATAAAAAATAAAATTACATATAATTGGAATACAAGATGCAATAATGTTAATTTAAAGAACAATAATTATAATAAAGAAATAAGTAAATTGATTCACATGTAGGTACATATCGCACACCGTCTTCAAAAGAGTCACAACTCCAAATTTGGCAATTTTGAGATTATGCGCTAAAAATGTACGCAGAGCTTTTATTTACCTTTCAGCAAAAGCTGGAGCAAATTTTTGTTATAATTTGTTAAAAAAAAACTGAGGTGAAGTCGCTCTTGCCCATATGATTATCATGTGCTAAGAAATAGTAGGTTCATTCCTTATCTTTTTGGACTAAAATCTGAAGTGTCAAAATGCCAGAGCGGAAGCAAAATGCGCTCACTAAAAAAGAATAACAGAAAAAAGTAAAGGAACGCAAAAAACCAAATTTTTAGTCCAAAGAATGGCAACAACAACACTAACGTCAAATAAGAATGGAAATGTATGTACAAAACACATTCACACAAGCACAAGCACAATAAAACTTACTATATCAATTATTTTTTTGCTTCCTTCCAATTTCAATTCACTTTTTTTACTTTTTAGGTTATTCTCCCATTTTGTGTATTCTTTAATTTCCGTTAATTTAAATTCAGTTGAGCTTGACACTTTTCAGGATTTTGCCAGAAAAAATTCTTCTGACTAAATCTGACTACTTCGGACTGAAGAGAGTCACTCTCACTGAGTGTTGCTCTCTCATTTTTGCTGTCATTTTCGAGTTAAGGAACGCTTTTTGGACTAAATCTGACTACTTCGGACTTTTTCTGGGAGATAAGGAACGCAACTAGTTTTTCTATTTTCTGACAAACGTATTATTTTGAGTTGTGACTCTTTTGAAGACGGTGTGCGATATGGAGTTTAACTTAAATAATGTTCTCAAACCCAATAATATATCACAACGGAGAAAACGTTGTTACCAAAAAGTGAGAAGCAATTGCACCAAATCATATTGCACAGGTATTAGCATTAGAGCAAAAACATCATTTAGTTGTATTTGTTTTTTCCTAAGTAAAACTACTATCAGCTGATTGCACTGTTTTAGAGCAAACACGTTCCATGGATGCCACTATCCAAATCCCACGCAGATTCCGAAAACCGAGTTAATATTTTTGCTATGGATACGTTTTTGAGATATCTGCAATTTACCGTTGTTCAGTTAAAAAAAGTGGTTCGCTTGAATCACGTATATCTTACGAACCAATTGAACAATCGTAATACGAAATACGGCAAATTAAAGCCAAAGAAATTCTCCATGGGCACTTTTCGACATGATTCACTAATACAAGGTTTTATAAGTAATGACATTTGAGTCAATTAGAGGTGAAGCAAATATCGTGGCACTATCGATGCATCGATGTTTTTGCATTTTTGCTAAACTTCGATGGTTGATGGCGACTATCGATGTTTCTTTTGTACACCTCTGCGCATGTAAAATGAAATAATATTAGTTTCTAAAAATTAAAATATTTTTAAAGACTTTTAATAAAAAATCTTTTATTCTTATGGCCTTATTCATAAAAAATAAAGTAGGTTTAAAGAGCTTTATAAATTGACGTTTTCATACATTTTTCAATTTATAAACCTTTTATAAAGTTACTTTATTTTTTATGAATATGGCTATTAATATTTTTATTGAGCTTTGTACCACGATTGTTTATTAAGAAAAATTTAAAAGGCAAGTTTAAGCGGTAGAAGTTATAGCAGCTATTTCGGAGATCACCACATCTCCTCATATGACTTCTTTTTTCTAGACTTTATTAAAAATACAATGTTAATAAGCCACAATAACATTGACAAAAAATCTTGTATCTCTTTTTAATAACATGAGAATAATAGTAATAAATTGGCGCTTACGCATATCGTCGTTTAAAGTACAAAACCGCGTATTGTCATTCTGCAAAACCGCGTAACTGACATTGGCTGCCAAAAATTGGATTTGCTCACACAGCTCTTGGCTCAATCCTTATCCATTCGTCCTGAAATATACTAGCCAGAAATGAGTTTACTTTATAAGAAGAAGGACCATTTTGAAATATGAGTGTTTTTACGCTCTAGAAAATAATTTCTACAAGTTCACATTCGCGGTTTTGCATTTTGCTGATACGCGGTTTTGCATTTTGTTGATACGCGGTTTGGTTATTTTACTTGGTACATAAAATCAATGCGTTGAAAATAATTGAAATCGGACTAAAATTACGGCCGCTTTTCATACAACGGTAAATTTCAGAAATGCTTGAAACTTCAATATTTTGAAATTTAAGGACGCTAATTTACTCAAAATTGATACACCCCGGCTTACCATATAGCGGTAGCTTTCGGAAACACATATTTTTATTACTTGCGGCGGGTATTTAATATTCGGCTCCGCCCGAACTTAGACTTTATTAGTTGTTTGTATAAAAATTTAATTAAAAATATAAAACAGAATCCACTGATCTGCAAAATAGACAATGAATTAACTTTTTTATGGTATATTAAACATGCTATATAGATATTAAAAATCAAATAAATAATATAAAAAAAACTTTTTAATATACAACGCTTTTATAAATGGACTAAAAAG